GATTTTAAAAAAAATTAAAAAATTAAAAAAATTAAAAAATGAATTAAAAAAAATATCTATATATAAAAATACGATAAAATCAAAAGCTAAATCAAAAAAAAAATAAGTCGAAGAAAGGTTATGGCGGTGAGTTAGGAAGGGAAATATCAGGGAAGTGGAATTGTTAGGGAAGGGAAATGTCAAGGAGGAGAAATTTTGGGAAAGGTGAAAGTGGAGTGTCGGGAAATAGACATAGGTTATGGCGGAAAATGAAAATGTTGAAAAAATGAATATGTTAGAAAATGGATTGTATATGTCGGGGAAGAGTTGTCTGGAAAACGGATACATCGGAGAAATGGATATGTTGTGTGAAAACAGATATGCCAGAGAAACGGATATGTCGGGAAATAGATATGTTGGGGAAACTGGTATGTTGGGGAAATGGATATATTGGAAAAACGGATATGTTGGGAAAAGAGTTTATGTTAGAGAATTGATTTTTGGGGAAAATATTGTCAAGAAGGTGTTGTGAAAGTAATGTCAGGAGATAGTTAGATAGTTTGTGTTAGGGAAGTAGTTGTCAAAAAATATTTGTAGAAAAATAAGAAAATTGTTGGAAAAATGATATAAAAGAGAAATTTATTAAAAAATTTAATAAATGTATTACAAATTAAAATATAAAATATTTAATTTTTTAAGAGATTCTTCTGATAATTTTTGTCTATTATTATCTAAAATATTTTTATAATCACTAAAACTTCTTTCAACATCTACACTAAAAATAGAAAGCTAAATATAAATTAATGCTATCTTTGCTAATATTGATAAAATGACTTTGTTTTTTTTCAATATTTATTTAAAGCTAATCTTTATCAATTTTTTCATTTAATCTACAATAAGTTATCCATTCTAATATTAAAGTTTGATGAAGGATTTTTAAATTGAGAAATTAATTATAAATTATAACCTTTAAGTATTTAAATTAATAACATAATTAACATTTCTAAATATAAAATTTAATTAGATTTTTAAAAAATATAATCTAATTTATTAATAGCCTTAATATTTTTATCAATTTGTTTTTCTTGAAAAATAAAAGACATAAAATATTCAATATAAGAATCTAATTAAATCATAAATTTAAATCAAAAATTCTATCTAGTTTTAACAGATAAAGGTGACAAAGTAATTTTAATAAAAGATAAATTTTTTTTTTTTTTTTTTTTTTTTGTTGTAAATGCCATAGTTGAAACTTTATTTAAAAAAGTAGAGAAAGATCTACA